AGAATGTTTTTATCCTTTGCATCTTTAATGAGAAGTGAACATGCTAATAGTTTGCTATGCATTTTCTTTCTATGACTTTCTGCCAAACACAGCTAAACCATCAGCCAAAACATGAAAGTTTTTTATGCTAATACAAATTTGAATAGTGGGTTTGAAAAATGCAGTTGTTTCACTAACATTTTAGTTCCCATCTACTCAACAAACATATACAAAGAAAGCAGATACTTCTAGCTGTGATAATTTCTTGTTTTGACAGCTTGTGGCCAGATCTCCTTTGGCTACTCTTGGAAGCAATAGAATTGTTAGTAGTCTCAAGCTCTAAGAATGAAAAGGTTAAGAAGTGCTACTTAACTATACTAAAAATCTTGATTTAAAATGTAAGATCTAAGTTTTCTTATTCTGAATGTGATGTTATAATTTGTTATTTAGGCTGTACAGTTTGGATAAAACCAAATCATTATTTATAGAAGTCAAAAATCGTACAAAGCATATAAATTAAAGCCTTTCATATTGTATTTGATATTTAAAATGAAGAGGATGAAAAAAATAAAAGAAACAAACCAGAAATAAACTACTCGAAGCTGTGGAAGGCAGAGCATTCTTGTTTCCCTAAAACCCAAACCCACCCAAAGTTATAAAGTTAAGATTCATGTGAAACAGGAGAAGCCTGCATTTAATTATTACTGAGTCTTAGATCCTGATTTCCACAATGAAGAGCAGAGCCCTCTGAGTCACTGGAGTATGACCTCTAAATGAAACACAAAAAAGCAATAGGCCCTGTATTCTGTCAGGACTGTGTATTTCTCCTAAGGCTCTGACCAAAAACTCCCAAGCAAATGGTATCTGCAGGGTGGGAACATGCTACCTCGCTTGCAACACTCACAACTCACAATCCCATTCTGGGTAACTCTCCCATCCTTTTCCCCTCTGCCCAACTTCTCAGGCACTGGTCAAGGCTTTTAGAACTTTTCTGGATCACACATCCATCCTGGCATGCAGGAGAAGACAAAAAGTGATCTTTGAGACTGCAGATAAAAAGAAAGGTGAAGGTTATTAAAAGCTGTCACTTCCTTTATGCATCTTGAGAAGATAGCTTCACTAGCTGGATGTCCTAGGTTGACTGTATGATGCCTTTATCCCCGATTGTCTGCCCTGTTTATGTTGAATAATAAGTTCTACACCTTTAAGACTTGTTCCAGGAGTGAAAGAGGTGGGGAAGAAGCGCGGAGTTTGTTTGCAAGAACTGTACTCCCTCCTCCACATTCCTGCTCCTGGACTGAGTGTCTGCGGACAGACAGACAGCGAGACAGAGCTCGCCTTTGTTTTCTAGTTAGTTTTAGCTAGCTGAGGTGAAGAAGTTCCCTGGACTGTGGTTTTTTTCCCTTTCTCTGGACCTGCTCTGGACTGCACACCAGGAGAGCAGCAGCAGCAGCAGCAGCACCTGTGGCCCAGCGGGCCGGGCCTGGGCCGTGGCATTTCCAGCGCCAGAGGGACTGAGCAGAGACTGAGTGAGCCCAGCTGCAACCCGGGGATTTTTTTCCTGAGTTCGTCTCTCTCTTGGAGTGGCAAGAAGTTTTATTGTTTAATATTGTTTGAGTTTGCTAGTTTAATAAACAGGTTTTTTCCACTTTTCTCCAAAGAGGTATCTTTCCCGAACTGGTTGGGGGAGGGGCCAATTGAATCTGCTTTCCTGAAAGAACCCCTTTGGGGCTCTTTCACCGAATTTTACCCTGAACCAGGACACTGGAACACAAAGGAACACATAAAAATTCCCCCTTTTCCTGATCAAGGTAATATGATCAAAAACTAATCCCTTTTAATGTAAGGCACTACATATGAGACACCCAGTAGGTTTGAGCGCATTATTAGAAAGGAAATAATCTAATTAATTTGTTTCAGACTTGCCAAATTTCACACAAATTTCAAACGAAAAAGCGGCTAACCAGAGATTCAGATTTCAGGTTCAGTCCTTCTGGGCAGGAAGATTTAGATTTACTTAAGGGTATGTGCCTAGCAGTAATAAAGCCATCTTCCCAGTAGAGCTATCAAACTCACACTTGTGAGAAAGAAAAAGTCATTAGTTTGACACATTTCCTACTTATGGAACATTCAAGGAATAAACAAATAAGACTGCCTATACAAGATCAGAAAATGAGCATCCAATACAGTATGTTTTTTCCCAACTGTGTCTCTGTGGTGGCTTAACCTTGGCTGGCTGCCAGATGCCCACTAAACCACTCTTCCACTCCAACTCTTCAAGAGCTCAGGGGGAGAAAAGAAGATGAAAAATTATGTGGCTTGAGATAAAGACAGACAGATAACTTACTAATTACCATCAGGGGTAAAACCAAACTGACTGGGGGAAGATTAATTAAATTTATTGTCAGTTTAAAGTTGAGGAGGATGGTGAGAAACAAAGCCAAAACGAAATTCCATCTCCTTTCCCTTCCCCTATTTCCCAGGCTCAACTTTACTGCTTTGTTCTAACTCTTCTACCTCCTCTCCCATGAGCACCGCAGTGGGGATGGGGATTGGGGATTGCACTGTAGTAATAAAGCATTCCTGTTATCAAAACTATTTTCATCACAAATCCAAAACATAGGACCATATGAGCTACTATGAAGAAAATTAACTCAGTGAACACCAGCAGGCACTTCTCTACCACACCTTCCTCTTCCTGCTGTTTTCCTTCTCCAGCATGGGATCCTTCCCACAGCGTACTTCACAAACTGCTCCAGCATAGGTCCTTCCCATGGGCTGCAGTTAGTTAAGAAGTGCTCCCTCCAGCATGGGCTCTTTCCATGGGGTACAGTCCTTCAGGAAGAGATTGTTTCAGTGTGGGTCCCCCACCTCCCCCCGTTCCCCTCCCACCCAGGACACAGATCCTGCTAGAAAACCAGCTCCTGTCACCTCTCCCTGCACCAGTTTCTGCCAGTAGACCATCCTGGTGTTTAGTCCTCCATAGGCCACAGGGCCTCAACACATCACCATGGTCTTCCTCATGGGCTGCAGGCAAATCTCTGCTCTGGTGTGTGGAGCACCTCCTCTCCCTCCTTCACTGACTTTGGTTGTCTGCAGGATTATTACACATTTTTCTCACTCAGATTTATTAAGTCAAATCTACTTGATACTTATTTTCTCATTTGTGTAAGCCACAAGAGGAAGATATTTACTCTGGTCCTATTAAGTGTCCAGAAAAACATTTCATGTTCATTTTCATTTTTTCCTACTGGAATCTTAAGAAAGGGAAATTAATCTGTTCAATCATAAAGCAAGAGTGAGATATAGTTTCACCAACAGTTGCAAATGCTTTCTGGTTTTAATTATGTTTTAATCACAGTAGTTTGTTTTTACCCATAAAAGTGTTTGACATAATAAAAATTAAGGTAAATCAAATAAATAAATTTGAGACAACTTTTGAGACAATTCCACTGCTAATTACAGGAAAAGCAGAATTAACTCCTTGTTGAATTTACTGTAACTGATAATTCATGATGTTTTGCTCTTCTCACTTCCTTCTCTGACACTGAATTAGTCACCATGTGACAATAACAGTAATTATGTTGTATCCGGATTCCAGTCCATTCTCATCAACACAGAAGTAAAACATATTGCATACCTCACCCTACTTACATACTATCCTCAGATAGATTTTGGGATTTTGGTAAAATCATACACTGCTACTATTCTTGCTCAAAAACTCTTTTAATCCCATATGTTTATATATATATATATGTATGTATGTATATATGTATGTATGTATGTATGCATGCATGTGTGTGTTCATTTTGTGTAACTTTTAGATTCTTATAATAGGTATATAGAAAGATAGTTTAAGGCTATCCAGGTTTTTAGTAGCTAACATTTCTTGCTAAAGAACAATAGACAAAGACATTTTCACCTCCAGTGGAGTAACTTCCACTGCTCTAGCCTGGGTTGAAGACATCACCCTGGATAGGAAGATGAAAGACAACACTGATGTCTAAACACTCTCTCTAAAACGTGTTGTGACTTCTCACTATTAGCTTTTTCTATTGCAAAAATTAGAAACAATCAACATATGTGACTTAAGATGAAGAACTCTTATTTATTAAGATATTTCTTCACAAGGTGTAAAATATTTAGATTGTTCTTTTTAAACATAAATGCTATTGCAAAGGGAAAAGGGAGTTGTTTCAGATGCTGCAGTTTTCAGGCTGAACGCGGAAGACGATTCGGGTGTCCGTGGGGATGATGCTGGGCGCATTAAAGGGAACGCTGCCGCTCCCAGCGGGGTTTTGCAGCCGCCGCCCGCGATGCCCACCCACCGCACCCCGCCGGCCCGCAGCGCCCGCAGCGCCCTCAGGGCTCCGCCCCCGCCGCGCCCCGCCGCGAGGCTAGAACGCGTGGCCACAGTTCTCGCGAGAGCTGGGAGTGGCCGCGCCTGGCAGCCGGGCGGTCTCGCGCCGCCGCCATTGTGTTGCGGGAGCGGCGCGAGCGCGCAGCCAGGCCTGGCCCGGCCCGGCCCAGCCCGGCCCGGCCGTGACGGTGAGTGAGGGCTGCCCGCGGCGGCCGCTGCGCCCGGGCTGCGCCTGGGCTGCGCCTGGGCTGCGCCCGGGCTGCGCCCGCTGCGCGGCCTGCTCGCCCCGGCGGAACCTTTTCGTGCCGTGCTGGAACCGGCCCAACCGCCCTTCTCTCCGCCATCGCTACCAACGGCCTCTCGCCCCGCGCCCGCTCCCGTAGCCAGGCCGTGTGACACCCGGTGCCTCCTCTTCCTCTCCGTCCTCCTCGCGGCCTCCGCCCAGCGCTTGGGGCCGAATGCTGCCTGGGTAGCGGGATCGGGTGCGGCCGCGGGCCACGGCCGGGCCCGAGCCGTGCGAGCCGCTGCCCGGGGCCCGGCGGGGGAAGTGAGGTGCCCTTGGCAGCTCTGCGCAGCACCTGCTGCCTGCGGGAGTAGCCCAGCCTTAGGACACCAGCCGCGGCAGCGTGGGCAGCCATCCATCGACATTGTAAATATTATTGCTCCTGAGTTGTCAATTTCACTATATTGAAGCTTGAGAAAATAGCCGTAACGAAGAATCGCACAGTCTGAGAGAAAGACTAGTGAGCGCCGTCTTGTTTGTCATAAAAACGTGATTGTGAGTAAGCCCCGAGGAAGACGCGTAAGCATAGTTTGCTCGGGAAAAAATATTGGGGATAATTTTATGTTAAATTGCAAAAAAACATGTAGACATGGGAGCTTGAGTCTTAGGTAGAAGTGTCAGTGCATAGTTCTAACCTAGAAGAATGAATTTAGGAGCAGTCGGTGAAGCTTATGCTTCCCTCTGATGGAGGGTACAAGGTTGCTTAAAACTGGTAGTAATCATGGAAGCTGGAAAACGCTTTACTTACTCGTAGGCATGATTACGTGAAATTGCTCCTCTTTTATCGATAGAGAGGGTCAAGGCAGAAGAGAAATATTTGCTGACTGTGTTTTACGAATCCCTTTTTGGGAAGGGGTGTAAAAATGGATGGTTAAGGATAGTTACTGTTTTTGCCTTTTGCGATTGCATTGCTTCCCTCAAATGCCTCTTGGATCTTTTAGCACTTCGTTATCTCTATCCATGACTGTGTTAGGTCTAGTTCCTCTTTTACAATGCTGTTAGAGGAATGACAGATCAAAAAAGGCAGGACATTTGATCTGTGTGCCCAAAATAGGTTGTGCTGCTCCACCTCCTTTTTCAAGTTGGTCATCTGTTTCTCAGGTATGACTTAAAAGTTTTATTTCCGAACTTGATTTCTGACTAAGTCGCAAGAGGTATTATGTATGTCCCTTATTTCAGGAGTCTCTAGAATTGTTTCAGTTTTTTTAAATGAGGCTGAGTAGTGTAACATGGCGTAAGCTGATGAAACGTGTTCTTTGATAGAGTGCTGCTCATCCTGCTGTACATGTACACGTTCTCATTTTTCTATTGTTGGGTCTGAGCGTGAGTAGTGTTAAAATAATGGAGAAGCCAGAAGTGTGTTTTCACCGGTTAATATGTGGAGGGTTCTCAATGAAGGGCACGTCAAGTGTAATTTTTGAGTAAGGCGTTCCTTTACTTTTTGGCAACAACAGGTTTTTTTAATCAGTTCAGACTAAGAACCCAATTTCTGGTTCTATGATTATTGTTATTATTTCTTCAGAGAAGAAATTTAAGTATTTTTTGGTCTTACTAGCTTCTATGTAAATTGAGGTGTCTGCTTTGTCATTACAGAACTCGCCCCACAGCATGTTAATTAACACTTGGGGTTTGTTGAATTCCTGTGTGTGTAAGCAAAATGTTTGAGGTTTTGAGTGTTTTTCTTCAGAAAAACCCTTAAGATGATGATACTGTAAAAGGGAACCGTTCTCATTCTGAAATATTGTATACAAGCACAATATTCCCCTTGCAGAGAAGTATTGTTGTGGCTTTAATAATGTTCTTTTAGCATGAGACCATTGTATTGCTCTGTCCTGTGCTCTGTGATAGCTTAGTCTGCTCACCTTATTTATAACCATTTCATTGTATTACTACGATCAGCATAAGCCATGTATGTATTTTGTTTGTATTCAAACTACCTATGTTGCAGCTCAGGCTTTCAAGGTACAGTATTTAAAATGGCATTCAGAGAACTCTGGGGGAAAAACTCCAAAACCCAAAAGACATCTTACTAGTGTTGGTCACCAGAGGTGAAATGCCTAGGTCTAGTTTTGTCTATCTAGTAAATGGACATCATGGCTCCATTGACTGACCACAGCTGCATCTCTGTCCATCTGGGTAAGACTATGAGGAAAGGCTGAAATAATTTGGGCTGTTTCACCTGGAGAAGAGAAGCCTCCGGCTAAACCGCATTACAGCCTTTCAGTACTTAAAAAGGGTCTGTAAGAAAGATGGGTACAGACATTTAGTAGAGCTTATTGTGATAGGACAAGGAGTAAATTTAAGAAAGGCATTTTTTATGGTGGGCACAGATTGCCCAGAGAGGTGGTGGATGCTCTGTTCCTGGAAACATGCAAGGTCAGGTGGAATGGGACTCTGATCGCTTATTGCAGGGCTGTTGGACTAGATGGCCTTGAGATATCCTTTCCAGTTGAAACTATTCTATGATTTCTGCTAGTTGGATTGAAAATAAATTTTATAATGGATGCCCAGAAATTGAAGAGCTCTCAGGCAGCAGATTTTTGAAAATTATTCATCTTAACAACATGCTTTATGTCACCAAATCTGTATTGAAAGGTAAATGTAAAATCCAATTTCCTTGATCAGAATTTCTTTGCCTAGATCATAAGGCCTTTTATTTAGCATCTTTTCAGTTCTGCATCAGACATGGTAGATGTAAAATGCCTATTCTCACGTGACTGATCTTTATAGCAGATGCTTCTTATTTGCTGGCTGAAGCAAAGACTGCAGAAAAAAATGTAAAGTTGTATGCAGGAAATGAATTGTAGTGTGTGTGCATAAACTGACACACAAAATTTTGCTTTTCCTATTGTGCTGCCTTAACTTGGTTTAAACACCTTTTTTTGGTTATAGTTTCTGCAAGATTTTTTATTTGTAGAAAGAAAATATTCTATAGATACTATTATCCTGACATACTTTGATTGAAATCACAACCTGTGCTAATTTACAAGATTAGGCTGATGGGTAACATTGTCTGTCCTCTTGGGGCCACCACTGAAGGAGAAAATTAGTTTTGTTCCTATTTATGTGTATCTGTAGAAGGAATTTGCTAATTTTGGACTCCATTTCATCTTCTGCAGGATATTGGCTGTGGTGTCCAGTCTTCCACCCCATCCTGTTCTGTGTGAATGCTCTTATTCTGTTCTGTGGATGGTGCATAAGCAATTATATTAGTATTAGATGATTTATAATTCAGTCTTTTAAGTTGTCTTACACTTCTGTCTCCTCCAATGACTCATGTGGACATTAATTCCTACTAATAGGAACATTTTATATCAGGGTAAAACATAGACAAACAGTGCTTTGTGTATCAGATCTCATCAAGATGTATGGCTGTTCTGTCCAGCCTACACTCTAGTCTATATATTGTGATATTATTTTAGCTTCACAGTTTGCGACTTTGATAGTTACTTTTTTGCACTAATTGCAGCTTCATACAAGTACTAAACTTGTAGAGCACATGATGGCAAATTACTTTGAAGGTTAAATTAACTATCATTACAGTTTGAAAATAAATATTATTGTTATGTTTTATCGATCTAATGATGCACTTGAAGCAGTGTAGTTTAGATAATTAGGCTTGTAATCAATTTCTTTTAAACTTCCACAATTAACTGGTTTTTTTTGAACTCTGGACTTCTGCTTAGAACATTCTTGTTGATACAGATGTGCTTACAACCTGAGAATTGCATAAATTGCTGAATATTTACCAAAGGTCTTAAATGTGATCTGGGAAATGAAATTAATTAATTACTTCAGTATATTAATGCGAAGTTGGGCAAGTGAGGATTTCAGATTCTTAACTGCATCTTGTGTACCTGGTGATGACTTTGACAAACACGAACAGGTTACTATGGAAGTGTGGTCTTGAAGCAGGTGTGCTCTGTAATACAAGCCTGTAGCTCTTTTGTGCACAAAGGTAAACAGTCACTTAAACTTGGTATACTTCAGAGTCCTACTTGCAAGATAAAGCATTTTGGCTGCTTTGTGTTTTGGCTGCTGCTGTAAAGCAGAGTTAGAAGTTGTTAAATAGACTGTACCACTTTGGCAAATCACCCTTTATCAGTGGGATCCTCTGCCATATGTTTGAGTTATTGCATGTCATGCTACTCTTCATGTACCGCATCATTGAGGATACTGCAATTTCCTTAAATTTTTTTAAGAGCTAACATGTGTGGTCTGCTTCTGTTTGTACTGTCCTGAGGAGGAAGAATCTAGCTGTCTGGAGTTTTAGGTAAACATTAAGTCAGATACCATTTCAAGGGCAGGGATAACTATAGGAAGCACATCTCATGTGGAAAAGGCACCAGCATTGCTTTTGAAATGCCTAGAAATAACAAAAGGCAGATAAAGACTCAGCAAGAGAGAAGTAAATTTATTAATACACTTGTGAGATAGCTTGTGCTCCTTTGCATATGTTAGCTTCCATGGGTGTTATCTTTGGAGAAGTTGAAGGCAGATAGACTGCAGATGTGTTTTTTCAGAGGAGGGTGAAGTTTCACAATTTCAACCCTGAGGAATAAGTCTGAATATAATTTCTGCAAGTGTTGAGATGCAGTTAATTAGCAAAAACATAATATATGAATTTGAGAAATTTGAGTAATCTGTTCCTGACTTGTGTTAATATGAGTACTGTGTAATTCTTAATGGAGTACTTCTTACACTTACAATTGCAAGAACATATTGTAACAAAATAATTAAAGGGACTGGTTTTCTAATGAGGGATGGGAGGAGATGTAAACAAGAGGTTACAAAAACTAGGATAAGAATTTGTTTCCCCATTTTGCTGATGCAGTCAGACCAAAGCACTGGGTAAATATTTGTATGTGTGAGTCATATTTACGTTGCACCCAGAATGACCTGTGCCTATTTTGCATGAGTTCCCTGCTTCCACGAGAAAAAAATGATCGGTATGTCTTTGTACAGGATACAAAGAATGGAGTCAAAACCCTCAAGAATTCCTCGCAGGATATCTGTTCAGGCTTCCAGCTCTCCTGTAGGATCTAGAACTGGAAACAGTTTATCTGGTGCATATAGTACAAGAGAATCTTCATGGAGATTAGAATCTGGATACCAGGTAATGTATTTTTTCCCTTTTTATAAAGTATAAATAATTTATAAGTGTCTTTTTTAACTAAATAAAACCCCAAAACTTAAGAAAAAATTTCTAAAAGACAAGAGTTTACTAACCAGGCCAGTGACAGTAATTGGTGAACTGGTAGTTCTAGATTTTCTGGTTTTACCTGCTTTTGTTTGTAGCTGCACCTTTAGAAATCAGCAGTTTAGTGAATGAGAAGGCATTCTGATAATATGGATTCATTTTCTTATGAGCCACTGCCATCTTTGAACCTGGGTAAATGGAGTTTTTTGTTGAGGGAGAGGTGAGATTTTGTTTGAACTTTGATGTGTATAGGGTGATGCAAAAAGTACAGGACTGTGTTAGTCAACACTTGTTAACTTGTCAGTTAACAAGGTTATACCATTCTGCAACACCTCCTGTGTTTATATTTTGAAAAGGTAAGAAGACAAGCTTTAGAGTCTGTCATGGTTCGGCACCTGCCAAATCCCAGGCACCCACAACAATTGCTCACTCACCCTCCCCTGCTGCAGCTAGGCAGAGGAGGGAAGAACTTAATGAAGGGTTCATGAGTTAAGGGCTATGAGAAAACACTCCAAGAGCAAAGCAAAACAGGCTTGACTTAAAGATATGAAGTGAATTTATTACTAACAAAATCAGAGGAGGATAATGAGAACTAAAATAAGCCCTGAAAAACACCTTTCCTTCTCCCAACCCCTCTCTCCTTCCCACTGACGGCGCATGGAGAGAGGGCATGAGGGTTTTGGTCAGTTCCTTACTCAAGGTTTTTTTCCGCATGGCTCAGGTCCGGAGTCCTTCCCCTTTGAGGCCATGGGGTCCCTCCCATGGGAGACAGTTCTCTGTGAACTTCTCCAGTGTGGGTCCACTCTCATGAGCAGCAGTCCTCCCAAAACTGCTGCACTGTGGGTCACTCTTCCACAGGATGCAGTCCTCCAAGGACAGGCTGCTTCAGCCTGGGAGCTGGGGACCTCTCTCTCCATCGGGTCTCCCACTGGATCACAGCCTTCTCTAGGAATTCACCAACACCAATGTGAGCACCTCCCCCAGGGGCTGTGGGCGGATCTCTGCCTTCCCAGTGGACTCGTGGACTGCAGGGGGACAACCATGTTCTTCACCAAAGTCTGCAGAGGAATCTTGACTCTGGCGCCTGGTGCACCTCCTCCCCCTTCTTCTCCGCTGACCTTGGTGTCACTGTGTTGTTTTCTCACCTCCTACTCTATTGTGGCTGAAATTAAAACTGCATCTCTACTTTTGTTTTGATTTCTTCTGAAACTTCTTATCACAACAGGTGTTATCACCATCTCTAATTGGCCCAGCCTTGACCAGCAGCTCGTCCATCTTCAGAGCCACATGAGGAATTTGCTCTGCCAAATGTGGTGGAAGCTTCCAGCAGCTAATTACAGAAGCCACCTCTCTGGTCCCCAAGGTTTTTGGCAGCTACCAAGATCCATGCTGTGCAAAACCAACAGAGACTCACATTAGTCTGTCATGTCAGTGTGTTAGTACAGCTGGGCTTTGTGTGCACTACATGGGACTGAAAAAAGGCCTTTTGCTGTTTCACAAGCAGCATTTTACACTAACCAAGCTACTTTTATGAGGAAGGGGAGCTGTGCTCAGGAGGAGGTATTCACGCTGTGCAGGTACTTGCAGTTTAGGAGGGTATTATGGGAAGCAGAGATAAAACTACTTTAGGAATTATTTTTGACACTTGGAAGCAACAGATAGCACTTTGGCTCAATTATCTTAGTACATTTTTTCTGCTCCTGTCAGCAGTTCTCACCTCAGTTTTGGGCTCAGAAATGTAAGCCCATTTTGGTCTTTGAAATTGCAGAAACTTAACTCTATGAGTAAATGTTCATATGTAAAATAAAATGGTTAGGAGTTTGGTCCCTGCTGGCAAGCTATCTGGGACGTTGTATTACATAATGCCTTTTGAGAAACAGTTTTACAAGTAATAGAACATTTTTTTTAGCTCAATTAAATGTATGTGTGTTACATTTTTGTTATCTTCAGCATGCATGAACTTGTTATTATATAGGCTGAATGTACAAGAGGAAGCAGTTGTTGGTCATTTTTGCCTTTTGGAGTTCTATGTGTTTTTTGCTGTCTGACTGCTCAGCAAAAACAAATCTAACAGTCTTACTTCTTGTAGAGCTATATGAACATAGTCCACACAGTGTACACATACTGAAAGCCATTGATCAGAAGTCATCAGCTGACCTGGTGCTGTTCAAAGATTTTGACACAGTGTACCTTTCATTATTTCATTTATTACATGAATTGCAGTGTGTTCACTGCACTGTGTATTCTTTTGACTATTTCCTGTTGAGCAAAGTGATTCTGAGCTGAGGAATGATCTCATAAAAATTGCGAGTTAAAACAGCACGGAAAATATGTGTATAGAAAATTATGTTGTGTCCCTTTTTTTCACTCCCAGTTTGTCAAAGGTACTCTGAGAAATCATTACACAAGACTGGTGCTTAGTGATAAAACTGTAGGGACTCTTAACTAACCTTTGGTATTTACAGAGCTGGTAGGGGCAAATTGCATTGTTGCTTGCAGGTTAAGATTACAGAGACTGGAGCAAGAAATTTTTAAGTCCAGTCAGATAGGAATACAAAGGACAGGCATTTTCACTTTGTTAATCCATTCAAAAACCTACCATAAAGTATTTTAAGATCTAGTTCAGTTACTTAGAAGAAAAACGTGGACTATCAGTAATTTTTTAGGTATAAGGAGGACTTGAATTTTTGTACAATTTCTATAGAGAGAGCACTTGATTATAGGTTAACTCAAAAGCTATTGGGACAGATGAGTAAAATTTATATTTGGTTTTGATTAGGGCTAACAAATAAGAAAGGTTTCTATTGGGCGGGTTTGTTGTTTTATTTTGTTGGTTTTTCTTTTCATGCACATACGGAATTCTTGTACACCATGCACTTTTGAGATTGATCTGCGTACTAGCCCCTGCTTATCTGAGGAGGCATAACAAAGAGGTTAATTGTATACTAATCAGATGTAGGGGATATAGTGTTGTTTCCAGGTAACTTTAAAATAGAAAAATGAAACTAGTGTCATGGTATGAGAAAAAAAACCCTATCCTTTACAATACAACATAGTAAACATTTTATGTTTACTATGAAAAAATGAATTTTAAGTTTTATTTTTTTTTTTCAGTGGAGGCATAGGGTTAAGAGTAGTTTATAAAATTGTTTTGAATGTTTTTCTGATTAAATTTTTCAGCTACTGACAATAGACACCATAACCAGAATACCTTATGTAGGGCTTTAATTGTTAAGTTCTGACAAGGGATTTTAAATAGTCTTAAGCTGAAATGAAGGAAGAAAACAAGCTGGAATTTTTGTATTGTTTTGGTTTGGCTTTGAATGCTTTGTTGTTGCTTTTAAGAAATGGTAACAGCAATTACTTTGTTTGTAGTACTCATAGTTCATAGAGAATGGACAAATAATCACTTAAAAATGCTGCTTAGTGTTAATAAAATGGTTGAATTTCTGGGGTTTTTTTCTATTAATTTTGCTATTCTCCATTATTATTCTATGGAGCAAATTAAATTGCAGCCTCTTTTATAATCTGTTCATTGAAATTCAGTTGGTTTTCGTGGCCAATGAGGTGCTTCTGTTGTCACAGCCACCCTTTCTACCCCTGCGGGTTTTTTTGCATAACATGTGAAACTTAGACCCTTAATTCTGCCCTGTTGCTGCAGTATCCAGGTCAGGCTAATGTTTCAAAAGCCTTACATTTTAACTTTTTATTGTCCCTCGTCAAAACATAGGACAGATGAAGGAATTGCTATAAAGTACTTAAAAAAACCAAATAACACAACTTTTCCTTTTGCCAGTGGTTCTCTCTAAGTTTGTTTCATTTCTTGGCTGTCCCTCAAGGTTTCTTATTAAATGTTCCCAGATCTGTTACTGCTTCCATTTCCCTGTATTTTCAATACTCAGATCAGATACTGAGCTATTTTTGAGTTACAAGATGCATATGATAATCATGTTGTTCTTCAGGAATCCAGTTTATTGAATAGTTCCAGTAGAGACTGGAGATTTGGAGAAAGGGACACCCATGAAACTCCTTGGAAACTTACAGCATCGTCTCCAACTCGCTACTCAGGGACACTTGATCACCCTCATTCTGGAAGATTTTTGGGAAGCAGAAGCAGATTGGTGAGAATTGTTACTGTGTGATACTTGGGAAAAAATTTTGAAACCCCGGGGTTTTACTTTAGTCTTCCCTATCTGAAATGCTGCCAGCAGGGGCTCTCTCTCTAAACTCTTACAGATTTACGTTTTTAGATAAGCAAATCTTACTAATTCTCAAGATAGAGCAGAAGCTAGAAGATGGCAGTGTTTGAGAAATTCAGAGGATGAAAATAGTGAGGTGTATTAGTTTTACTGAGTTCAGAAATGCATTTAAAGTGAGTAGCTCTGTAAAAGTCCATTTAAAAAGAAAAAAGGAGAGGGGGTGATTAGAATCTCAGACATGTTATAGTCCTGTGGATGGCAAAGTTCATATTGCTTCTACTTGTTCCTTCAGGTATTTCCTGGGGGGGCGTGTTTCTTGGATGGTACTAGCTTTGTGAGTTAACACAAAGTTCATGAGTTTGGAGACTTGCTTTAAGAAATGTAATTGTGAGGTATAGTTCATAGTCTGATTGTTCTGACTTACATGCTGCTTAAATCAGCAAAAGAATGGTTGCCTGAGATTCAAGACTCAGGCCCTAAGAGTTTGTCTTATCTGGGTTCTAGTGATTTATTAAAAAAATATGGATATTGTTCTAGTACCGATATCCAACTGTGACAGACAAAAACTCTCTAACAGTTTAAAGTTAGAAAGTGTGTGTTTATTGTGTGTGGGACAGCTCCCAAATACACACCACAGCTTCCAGGTGATTACAGAGTCTTTTTATCCATACAAGTATTGAATACCCAAAATACAAATACATATTCATAATTTTGGTACATCCCATTCTTCGCTTCATATGCTAATCATTTCAAAAGCTATAAAGCATGTGTAGTTTGTTCCTTGAAGTGAGTCGATGGTCCCTTTCATGGGGAGGGGTCCCAAATGAGGAAATAAATGAAGTCTTCCTTGTTCTGACCTTTCTACCTTTTCAATGCAAATATGACAAATGAACTCTTGGTAGAACTCCCATTCCTTGGCTTCAATTGGTTTCAGAACAGAGGAGGCCCACAATTGTCTTAGTTCCTAAAAGCTCTTTGTCAGTTTCTATATTCTTCATTATAAACCCGGCTAACTAAACATTGTGCTGACAAGTTATTAGTTAACTACTAACTCTTAACTTCATCAAGGCCTACTCATTTATTTTAATTAACTCTAGTAAGGTTTATCTCTAACTAAAATCTTAGCTCCTCTAAAATCTCTAAATTCCTTAAAATTTACGTTTCACTAGAATGTGCCTCAGTAACTCCAATAGTAAAGCAGTTTGCTTGTGGCATGCTTATTGTAGAGCAACAGTAAAACACTTGGAAGCACAATAGAAATATGAAGATAGGAAAAGCAGAAAACTGTGGACAAGTTTGGCAGGACGATAACGAAATAAAAATTCTACTCACTTTCAAAGGCCAAGATGTTTGGGCTTGAATCATTAAAGAGGTATTGGTTTTCTTAGGTACCTTGAAGGTGAAGACACTGAGATATTATTGGAGGGTGAGGAGGGAGGAGCTAGTGTGCATGTGTTGGCCTTCAAGGGAGGTCATGGCAGATGTCTACCTATAGTTTAAATGCAAATGAATCAGTGCTTCTAAGTGGTCTACATATCTAGATAAATTAGTGCTGCGGTTTTCAAGGTGAAGACCCTTCTTTCCCCCCATTAAGGTTACTTATTCTCTTAAAGTAAACTCTAATGCAAGTGAACCTTACAGAAGACGCTCTGAAAATTCCACATATCAAATAATGAATTATTAAAAAATAAGTGATATGTTAAATAGAAGATTAATAAGGGAAGGTAACATGGCTTTGTACTTGGTTGCTGAATGTTGGTTTGTTTCCCTGTTTTTTTATGATGAGGGAAATATTTAAGAGACTTCTTAGTTTGAAAGAGTAAGAAGTCATGTGTTAAACTTAGTAAAAACCATAACTAAGTAGAAATAAAACACAATGTACTCTAATTTGATTGATCTGTAAAGGATCTTGGTTGTGGATAGTTTCTAGGAAGACAAATGTTTCAATTCAGCTTTTTGATTGAGCTTAACTTTTTTATATGAAAAAAATAAACCCAAAGTATTTAAAGTAGAAAATTAATGCCTTAACTGTAAGTAACCAGATGAACAGCTTTGTAGGCTATTCCAAACTTTATATTTTAAGTCTTATAGTGCTAATTTTATTTCAGTGCTGTACACTGCAAAAATTGTATTGTACCTGTTCTTTACTCTGAAATCCTTCAGTTGCACTTGAGCTTATTGTAATCAAAATATACTTGTTTCAAACAATTTTCCTGAATCTCACTCCTTAGTTAATTGTATTTTAGGTTGATAAAAAATATGTTGGATTAGTTAAACTGTTAAATAAAACAATGTAGCCTCTTCAGTTTTGGCCATTTCTGGACAGCAAAATATGTTCCCTTGGGGATCTGTAGAGGTATATTTGATTGTGTTTATAGCATCTTATGGGCCAGGAGTATAATTTTTTTCCACCTTTTTGCGCCAGTTTTTTGTTGTAAGCCACATCTATCTGGAAAGGAAATAAAATGCTGAACGTTATAGAAACTGACTTTTGTGTGTAGGACTGTATTGGGTAAACCTGGAAATACTAGTCAAGAGCACAAGCGTAATTCCTACTTTATTTTTATTTTTAAATAATTTTTTTTTTTAAAGAAAAGCGTTTGTATTTAAAGTTATTCCTTACAATGTTTGTGAGTTTTACATTATGTACACTTTTGTGCCGTATAAGTGCATCTGATGTACTATGTCATTTATTTTTTAATGTTATTTCAGTCTACATCTTCTTCCTCTCATTTCACATCTGGGTGTTATGGTGAGTCTGAGAGAACTCAGGGAGCATATTCAAGACTGCATAGCCAGCAGCAAGATAGTGATTCAAAGAGACCTAAACTATCTTGTACATCTACCTCTTCTGTGAGAAGTAATGGCTTGACTGCCTTTTCAGGTGAGAGGTTGATTACTTGAGCTGAGTTACATCAAAATTGTCTGAGTAGTAAGATCAGGTTTTACCAAGTTTTAAAAGACTTGCTTCAAGTATTATGCTTATGTGTTTCTTAAGTAATAAAAATTTATGCCCGTCTGAAGAGTATGTTCACAGTGATAGCAGTATCCAAAGTTCCAAGTATGCTGTTAACATGGTCTTTTGAAAGTCCAGTTGTACTCATGTCATTTCAGAATTATTAGCTGTACTTAATCCGTTTGTGGTTAAGCTGAACTTCATGGCTCAAACATAGCTTCATTGGTTAAGATTTCAAAAAAAGAATGAGTGCAGCTGTTCTTGTTTAATGAGTCAAATGGTGTTGATACATCAATGTGTGCCAGGGACAGCAGAAAGGAAATCTTTACCATACTTAGCAATATGTTCAAGCACAGTGTCATGGCTGGTTAAAGCACTATTGTAAGGGCTCAGGGAAGAAAGAGTTCCTTTTTTAGCAGGGCCTGAACTCATTCTTCAGGTCCTGGCTAAAGAAACATTCTACACTAAGAGCTCATTCAGGAAAACCTGAGATTTTCATTGAAGCTGTGGGTAAGTTTGTGAAACTTGCCAGCAGAAGTCTAAAGCTCAGGAAGTAACAGTCAACAGCTTACACTGAAAATATTTCTAAACCATTTTGATACAGGTTGTTAAATTAATTCAGATTACCCTTGTGAGTATGGATTAATAGGTTTTTTAATAACCCCTTATGGAATTGCATAGACATCCAAATAAAAATTAATTATTGCTCAAACCTCAGTATTATTGATACTTTCTTACTTCAATAAATTGACAACTGTTAACATATCACATTATGGTGTAGGAGTGTTTCTCTTTCCATTTCTGCCTTGGTTGGTTGTCACACTGCCGATCAACGAGTGCTTAAATTTGTTTTTCTATGTTAGCAATGAAGTGATATCAGGTGAATTTTTCAGAGCCATTGAAGAAGACTCTTTAGGAACTAGAGTTTTTTCCCCAGCTGATGTATATGCAGCTTGCTATGCAGTTGTTGGAGTGGTCAACAAAAAACAAGATCCATTTTCACGCTGAAGTGTTTTGCTCTGTAATATGAACGAGGATAGTGCTAGTCATTGTTCTTAAAGCTGTGTCCAAACTGCATTTAAGCTTCATCAGCTGTTTTTATGAGAAATGAAATTTCTTCTAAGTAGTGTCAAGTAGAGTGGCAGCATTTGCTAAGTCTCAGGCTGCTGTTTTGCTATAATGTGAAACCTTTTTAAAAACTAGCTGCCATTAGGAGGCAAGATGCTACTTCTCTTCTGTCCTGTAAGAGTGTTAATGGGTCTGACTTTTCACAAAAGTATTACTACTTTTTGTTCTACGTAGCCTTCTGAGCCAGCTTTCTGCAAGATGAAGTGCCTGCATCAGCAGAGTGCACTTAGCTTTATGTTGGCACCTGGGTCCTTGGTCCGTGGAAATGTTAAATGTATAGTGGTCCAAGTGGTAGGTTTAAACTTACCCTTGATATGAATAACGAAAATGTCTGCATAAGTGCCAGTTTTAACGGATTTTTAGATGATTACAAAAATGGGATTTATTTACTTTTTCTTTCTAGATTCCTCATGGAGATACAGTAGGATTCCTAGATCTTCATCAGTAATGCTTGGCTCCCTTGGAACTGATCTGGTGAGAGAGCGAACACAGTTAGAAAGAAGAACAGATCTGTCTGTTAATAACCTGGTGGATCCCAGCTACAGGAACAGTGATTTTTCACCTTCAGCATGTATGTTTTGTGTAACTGAAAACTCATAAGCCTACAGTTTGTATTGCTTTTAGTTTCTTAATGTGTTCATAGGATCACAGAATGATTTGGTTTGGAAGGCACCTTTTGTTCTACCTCCTGCCATGAGCAGGGACACTTTCCACTATCCCAGGTTGTTTCAAGCCCTGTCCGACGTGGTCTTGAACACTTCCAGGGATGGAGCATCCAAAACTTCACTGGGCATGTTCTTTTAATACTTCATTCAAAACATGAATACAAAATAGATTTTAAAGTATCCTTTTAAATAAAGTTTATTGGCCACTCCTCATGCGTTGACCAAACCATCAAAGGATATATGAATGGTCTAGCTTGTAGACGCATTGTGGTGTTGGTGGTCGCCACTGTAACTCTGTGATTACTCAGTAAAGCTCTTTTCTTGTTTGTCTTAAAATCTCTTTGTATTTAGGTATGGGTTGAGAAATAATGTTGATTTGACCCAAGGAAGTTTTTTCTTAAAGGTGCATATTATCTTTTTTTATTTGGGTTCTCAAGTGGTTATTAGGGAAAACTGCTAGCCTACTGAAAATAACAATGAAAAAAACCACACTTTCCATGAGGTCAGAGGTTTGTCTCATAGCAACTTCTAGGACTAGTAAGGACTTCAGCACTGTAATTTTCACTTTCTGTTCAGAGTGCTGTGGACCTTCTAGAGCTGTGTCAGGGGAAGCTCACCATTAGTCTTATCTGCAGCCTTTTGCAGATGCATTAGCTGTATTTTGTCATGCAGAAGTTAAAGAAAATGCCACGTTTCTAAGTATAGAAGATAAGCAGAAAAGATAAAAATTACTTTCAGAATTCGTCCCATTGTCTTGCCTTGACAGAAGAGTATATTTTAATGTCATCATACTCCTAGCACTGTTTAGTAAGTGGACAGTTCAACTACTCTACCTGCTAGAGTCTAATGGGAGAAGTGTATTAGTGATCAGCCTTGCTTTGTACTGTCTGTGCTGCATTTCTAACAGTAGTGCTGCTATTAAGTGCTATAAAAATAACTCCCAACTGTGTTCCCTGATGTGTAATCAAAAACATATGGTAGATGATTGGCATCTGTGCAGATGTTTCATTAGCTGGAATCTGCCAGGTAAATAAAGCTCATCTTCAGTGGTAAATTGTAATTGCAATGCAGAACCTATTAAAGGAAAGTCACCAAAACTGCAAAGATGAAAGTTTTAAAATTGAGACTACATAGAGAGCTTCTGTTTCCTACCTTCATCTATCCATGCTTGTTCCTCTGTCCCCTTTTTCCCACCCACAACCACCCAGTACAGCCATTTGAGGAAGGAGACTAGCCACCTCAGCTGCTTCATGTGAACTACGGTTCATCTGCAGTGGAATTCTCAGTGTTGAGATGCTCAGACAGCACTTGCAGAGGATGTGCTTGTAAGAATGATAGAATGGTTTGGGTTGGAAGGGACCTTTAAAATCCCCTAGTCCAGTCGCCCTGCAGTGAGCAGGGACATCTTCATCTACGATAGGTTGCCGTGAGCAGGGACATCTTCATCTACGATAGGTTGCCTAGAGCCCTGTTGAACCTGACCTTGAATGTTTCCTGATATGTTTGAGCACATCTTGTCATTTTCCTCTGCTTTTCTGCAACAGATATTCAAGACAGGCCTGCCTCTTCATATGCAGAGGGAGCAAGACCAAAAGAGAACTCATTAAGCACTTTGAGGCTGAATGCAACCATGAACCACCAGTTGCCTTCTGATCATCAGCCATCTTTTTTCAACAGAGACTCTAACATGAGCTCTTCAAGATCCAGCTATTCTTCAAGACAAAGGAGAAATGAATTGGAATCTCCCCAGAGGAGTGTGCAGCCAGCATTTTCTCTTACTGCTGCTAGAGATGAAATCCCTTCCTCAAGTGGTTCTGAAAGGATTTTATCTTCTCAGAGGTCATTGAATGAGTCTGCAGCTGACAGTGAAGGGAGGCGCACAACCAGACAGCTGCTGTCTCGTTTAGCATCTAGTATGTCATCTACATTTTTCTCTCGAAGGTCTAGCCAAGACCCATTGCATGCAAGGTCATTAGGCTCTGAAGAGTCAACAGTGGTCCCAGGAATTCAAGCTACTGCTCTGTCAAGTAGTAATGGAGCTGCAACTCCAGAAGTTACAGGACTTCAGTCATCTGAAGCTTCTCAGGGGTTCAGTTTTCTTGGACGAAGATGGGGTTTATCAGGAGTTTCACAGAATCGCAACTCTGATTCTGATGGGGAAAGTTACAGACCAGACAATGAAAGTAGAAGCACGGGATCCTGGTTGTCATCCTCTTTGAGGAACAGATGTACACCTCTCTTTACCAGAAGAAGAAGAGAAGGAAGAGATGAATCTGCAAGGATCTCTACCCCTGATACAACTGCTAGATCACAACATTTCTTCAGAAGGAGAGAGTCAGGTGAGGAGACCTCTCTTGAAGCATCAGATAACCCTCCTCGGGCTTCTGTTAGCAGACCAATGCCTGCAGTGTCTGTTATTTCTACAGCTACTGCCTCCCCACCAGATTCAGCCCCCAGTGGAAGAAGTTCGGGAATTCTGCCTGCTTCTCTCTTTCGCTTTGCAGTGCCTCCAACATTAGGAAGCAGTCTGTCTGACAATCTTATGATAACTGTAGATATTATTCCCTCTGGCTGGAATCAGTCTGATGGACAAGAAAGTGGCAAGTCTAAAATACCACCTTCAAGAGATCCGGAAAGACTCCAGAAAATTAAAGAAAGGTAAGTTAGTATGTTCTTTTTGCAACAGTAAAATGTACCTGTTTTAACCTGAGAGGGCTTTCTGCAATTGTGATTTTAAAAGAAAACTTTCCTTTAGAGGAGGTGTCAGCTCAGTCCCCTGTCCACTTATATTCTCACTTTTGTCTTTAAAGAAACTTTTTTTTATTCTCACCCGTTTGAGAACAGTTTGATAAGTGGAATTCTCATTTTAAAAAGTCCTACATGAAATATCACAGCATTTGTTGGTATTCCATCCTATTCAGCCTGCTTTTAGAAGATTCTGAAGATGAAGAGGGTGACTTATGCAGAATCTGTCAGATGTCCTCTGCAAGTTCTGACAACCTTTTAATAGAGCCATGCAAATGCACTGGAAGTCTGCAGTATGTTCACCAGGAGTGCATGAAAAAATGGCTGCAGTCAAAGATAAATTCAGGTAAAGCAAACTCTAGACCAAGGTAGACTTCTAGTTATACATGGAGGCTTATCAGAAGAGTTGCAGTTACTGAAGTATTTAGTTGAAAAGCAAGCAGAAACAGTAGTGTGACACTTCCAGGCTTTTTGTGTTCTGTGCAGCCTCTCATGTGAGTAGTTCGAAGAACTGTATTTCTTTAGAGAACTACATTTTTTGGGGTCATCTACTAAGATGTTAGATGAAAGATAACATTGAAAAAGTGTAGCTTTAGAATTATTCTGCCACTTCAGTGATACTACTTTGGGTAGCATTTGTTCCCCCACCCTTCCTTATGGAAATGATTGTGCTTTTTTCCAAGACTTCTATAGCTGAGCTAACTGTTAGCAGTGATAGGAATTTGAAAATCCAGAAATTATTTTGAATTGTAACCAAAGTATGTTATTTTTTTTTCTTAAAGATACTAACTCCTGTGCAAGGCACTTTAAAAATGCTTGTTCAAAAATTACTTCAAAGTGCATATATAATTCTTTAAGAATTTTAAGAAATGCTTCAGATATTGCATGTTGTAGAAATATTTCTGTAACAGATTGATTGACCGGTTAGTATCTGTTATCTGCAGTATTCTTAAAAGTAGGTGGCTTGATAGAAGACATGAAATACTTTATACTAAAGGATGGTGCTAATATCTGACTTTTTTACTCAGCACCAGAGGATGTTTTAGAAGCCTCAGCCTGTAGAAGAAAATTACTTTGAATTATTTAGCTATATATGAAGACTTACATACACTATCAACTTGCTGTCTGTTTTAAAACTGGTACTTAAGACAAAATGTTACTTAACAATGTTCTAGTATATTTATTTTTACTTCTGTGTGTATTTGGATTACATGGTAAAATTCAGAAAGCCCAAGAAGCCGTTTTATACCAGACTTGCAGGAAGAGGCATATTAATGCCCAGAGTGAATGGGAGGCAAAAAAGGTGCAGCTGGATAGAGAATAAACATTCTACAGTGTTTAAATTCTGACAGTAGCAGATGTCACTACATTCCTATTAGAGGCTTGCTTTTCTTCTAACCTTGATCTGCAAAATAAAACCAAAAATTACAGAGTTTTTAATGTTTATGTGAGTGTGTCATATGTTACGGATTGTTGAAATTTGACACTGAGTTTTCCCCTTGCCTGCCACCCCACCAGGTTCTTCTTTGGAAGCAGTGACAACTTGTGAATTGTGCAAGGAGAAGTTGCATCTTAATCTGGAAGACTTTGACATTCATGAACTCTATAGGGCACATGCAAATGAACAAGTTAGTATATTTTACCTTATTTGGTAAGTGTTGATGTAGTGCTGGGAGGACAGTTTTTAGAGAAGCCAAATGCATCTCAGACGGACTGTTATGCATATTAAGTAATGTTAATGTGGAACAGACTTTTCTTCTCAATATTCCAACTACCAGTACCTTCCTGCTACGCTTCCTACAGCTGAGCTTTCAGTAAGTGTAATATATCTCTTTCCATAGTTGCGTATCTGTCATCTAGCTTTGTAATCCAGTGTCTCTGCCACATAGGTGCAGTGTGAAGTCTAGCATGATTAGATTGAATTTCACATTAAGTCAGGTGTTGTTGTCACTTTTAGCTGGTTTTGGACACAGTTTAGCAGTTGTTTTAAACATAAAATTACAAACTTCTTTTGTTTCATTAGAGTGGTAGAAACTAACCTCTGTTCCAGCAGTTTCTAACTGCTCCTTCAAATAATTCACTAACTTAAACAATAATCAAAGGCCCATTGGTATTAGACTTGTTATTTAAAATCGAATGTCTGAGAACTACTGGATTGCGTAGTATTTAAAAAAGAGTAAATAAGACAAAGCTGGTGTTTTTAATCAACTTTATTTGGAGGGTTTTTTCCTATTCTCTCAGTTGTAATCTGACAATATACAAAGACTAATGCTATTAGCCTACCTCAAATGTTTAAAGAAAATACCAAGTGACATCAATTTTGGGGCAAAACATTGGCCTCTAATATTTTTATTATTTAAAGTAAGTTCTTACCCTAGTACTCTTTAATTCCTGTTTATTTGGGGAGTCTCTGAAAGGTATTTTTCAAGAGTGCTAATTATCTTGTTTTAGTGCTAGTGCTTATTAGTTGCTGTCATTGCACTTTACTAGAAATAAGAACTTGAAATTTTTTTTGTAAAGAATTTACTAAATTATCTGTTCAGCAGAAGCATTTTAAAAACTTTTCTCTTACCTTAGCAGGTAAAGGAATTCCTTAAATATTTGTAACATCATAACATTCTTAAAATAGATTCCTTTATTATGGCTTTCTGTAAAGCCTTGGGACCACAGAGAAGAAACCAGCAATACTGGTTTTATTTCCTCAAGTGATATAATACTCTGATTTGCACATTCTTTCCTCTGAACTAATCATGCTGACTGAGATTTTATTTGTAGAACTATTTATTTTCAAGGATAATATGTTAGATTTGGGGTGGATGGGAAGGACCAGAAGCATAACTAGCTTTTCAGCAGCTTAAATTTTTTAGTATTACATTTTCCTAATTCTTTCGGAACAATTAGAGATAAATCTGTAACGGTTTCATTAAAATCTAATTGTTGTTCTACTTGAAACATATATGCAGATGTATTACTGACATTCTGAATGTTTCTTTTGATCTCCTTTAAGGCAGACTATGAATTTATCAGCTCTGGTCTCTACCTTGTAGTGTTGTTACACTTATGCGAGCAGCGCTTTTCTGATATGTTAGGAACTGCAATTGAGGCCAGCACACGTGTCAGAGTAAGTATGCAGTGATTTTCTGGCAGGAATTGCTCATACAGAGAACTTGCAAACAGATTGTTACCTTGAGTGACCTAGGACTAGATAGCCATGAAACAAACTTTTTAAACAAATTTAGGTTTAAAATGGGCTGTGCTTGTCAGTGCACCGTGTTTGATTGGAAACTAATAAATTGGAATAATTGCAGGTACTCTGCTACAGAATACTTTCTGTCAAGGTTGTTGGTAATTTATTAGTTAGCATACAGATAGCATACGTGTTGTCATGATTATTGTGAATTTAAGCAAAACGGGAGGTTAACCTCTCTGCCAGGTGTGTAGTTAAGAATGTTGTACTACCTGATTTGTTTAATTTTTCTCATTATGCAAGTCTCCTATTGCAAAGGCCTGGCACTTGTGCTTGTCTAGTGCACTAGACTAGTGCTCGTCTGCCAGACTACACCTAAAAGTGTACTTGAATATTAACATTCTGCAGCAGCCTATAGCTGTCGTATGGTTTCTCTAGCATTAGTCCAAACTCTTATTTGTTGCATTTGACTGCATTCTCGTCACTTGCAATGCCTGGCTTAGGAACGTGTTTAATATACCTTTAACCAGTAAGAGATCAGCATACAGCGTTCTTTCTGCACAGTGATTCACTCATAAATCCAGTATTCTTCATGGTTATTTGATACTAGATAATTAATCAGTGCTCTTAGTCAACTGAGCTCCTGAAAAGCTGGTTATTTTTGGATTTTTTTCTTACGTACAAAGAAGTGACAGTATTAACCTTATCTAGTGCATATGGTAGTGGTTGGCTGGTAGCAGGTAGTAGATCTTTGGAAGAGGCAAGACTGCTCTGCCTAATCTCTTAATGTATTAGAACAGTGCTCCTCTTTTCTGTACAGATCCAATGTAGGGCTTGTATTCTATGCTACAAGTGTAGAGATATAAAAGATGCATGATCTAATTGTAGCCAGCATCCAGCACAGATTGTTTAGCTTGAGTGTATTGCAGATGTTTTTACCGGTTTCCCATCAGAGGAGGCATTACATACTTGAGTGTGTGACACTGCATTTTAAACCAGTGAGAGCACCAATGCTGGTATTTTATATCAAGCATATGAATAAGCTGTGGAAGCTCTTGTTATCTGCTGTGTCTCAGTGTCTGGACTTTTAACTGAAGCAGTGATGCAGATTGGCAGTGACAAAAGAAAACCACTTGGCTGAGACTTTAATTGTAGGAATTTTGGCTTTGGGTTTTGATACTGCGTGTTTCTTACATCAGACTGCCACCATTGCCCAATAGTAATCATGCTCTTAAGATTTTTAACTGTAAACAAAAACTTGTGTTTATGCATTTTTCCTAAACCACATACATTCAGAGGGCTCTGTTTTGTTGTATTAGTCATGAATTAAACAAAATGGATTTAACTAATGCAAGTCCTTACTGTGATTGTTTTTCTGCATTACAGTTTCTAGGAATGGTTTTCATTAAACTGACACTTGTTTATGTTTGCTGCTTTCAAAATTGATGTGTTTTATAGTCACAAGTCGCTACCACAAACATTTTAAAGCTGAAATAACTGCAGTAGCAATTTGAAGTCTAGAGTGTGGGGATTTATGTTAAATTTTGCATTGTTTTTTGTAAATTGGGCAAATGGGTTAGTTAACCAATATCTGTCATGAACCTTTGGGATGTAAAAAGTGAAGAAAAATTTGCTAACTTGTTGCAAATGTCTGCAGGTAACTTTGCAACTTTTAAACTACTTTCTCTCTGCCTTGTTTCTAGTTTATTAACCTTGCAAGAACTCTTCAGGCACATATGGAAGATATTGAAAGTAGGTGCTTCCCCTCTTTTCCTCCCCTCCCATTAGTCAACTAAAAGTTAACGAGTACAATCCTCCTTGCCAAGATTCATAATACTGAACATAATTACTGAAAACCTTACTCAGCAGTGCTTTTTCCATCATCAGTAGAATTATTCTGAGGGGAAACCGATTTTAATTCTCCATGATTAACTTGCCAAGAGCACACAGTTGTTTAAGACCACAGAAGAATTATCTGCAGTCACTAACAAAATTCCATAGTAGTTACAGTTTGGTTATTGTAGTTCTGGTAATTCATAATTACAGGATAAATTATGACCTTCAGGTTGCTTCCTTTTACAAGCGAAAGTAGGAAAGAAAGTAGTAGGAAAGAAACATTTAGAATTTAATTTTACTGCATTTAAATTAGACACTTGTATTGCCAGCTTTCTTCCCTTTCTTTTTCTTTCTCTCTTCTCACCTTTGTTTTTCCCATTCACATACACTTTTTGGTTGTGTGGGTTCCTTGATCAGACCTCTAATGAATTCTAAAAGTTGCCAATTTTGGCAAAGCATTAGCCTATTTTCATCTAATGTCTTTTTTGTGGGTGTGTGTTTAAATTCAAAACTATATGCTGATATGTTACATTTCTTGTAAATACACCCTGGATCTGTTTCTGGGCGTGTTGAATAGGCAGTGCAAGGGAAGTTGGTCTGCCCTTTTTTTCCTAGTGTGTACGTGTCTGTCAACTGTATATGAGTTTTCAGTACACAGGATGCATTTGGAATACCATAAAGAAAGGGAGTGTGTGTGTGTGTGTGAAAGAGGGAGTTCTGGTTCAAGGTGATTATTTCTGCATTCAGAGTGGTCAAATGTGGACTTGAGTTATTCATTCCTAAGTTATGTGCATTTTCTCTATTAGAGGAAAAATTAAGGAGTGTCATTTTACTCCTTAATTCAATCTATATTTGATTCAGCTTTTAACCTGCAGATGAGGAATACTGAGTTCTAGATTTATTATTGATGCACTTCAGTTACATTTTTAAGAACTGAAGAAGCAAGGAGTTAGACTTTTCTTCTTTCTGTGTTCAGGGATGGAACAAGTTATTCCAGTATAGATACTTCCTTGCCTGCAGACCTTGCTTAAGAGGACACACTAAATTCCTGTTACAGAGAAGCTAACATTTTACAAACCTGATGTAGATGTGCATACTGACTTTTCTACAATAGTTGACAAGTGTGCATTTGTCTTTTAACTCGCCTTGCAATGACAAAATCCCGTGCATATGTGGGCTTTGTGTTCGTCTTGCATATGCTGAAAGGACAGGACTAGAGAGAGGAGCCGCTTCCAAGCAGGCCCAGTTTGCATTAAGCAACATACATATATATTTATATATATAAAACGTAAGAGTCTATTTTTAGACTGCTGGATCATTCTAGGTATTTTTAGTATCCAAGTTGCTAACTTAGTAATTTCTTTCCCTTATATTGGGTGCTGCTGTCATGGATTGAGTATATCCTCTTCTGACTACTGCTGGAATTAGTCACTCTAAGCACTACATAAAAGTTGAATCTCTGGCATAATTAAGTTTTCTTCCTCTTATTTTGAGGAAGGAGAGTAGGAGGACACAGCAAATTGTATGATCTGTTGAGTTTTGATTTGAAAATGCTGTATTTTTCTGACATGAAATGCATTTAAGAATTAAGTTATGTAATTACTCAAGGTTTGGGTGGGTATTGCAGTCTGCTATTTGATATTATAAAATCACCTTTATTTCCTCTACTCATCCTAAAGTGCTTTAATTTTGCACATTTTTGTCAAGGTATCTGATTACTGTGTTGTCCCAACAGCTTCTGAAGATGACTCTGAAGACTGATGCTGGAAGAACTTTCTTACTGCAAGAAACAAATGGAATTGCTGCAGAAATGCTGAAGTGGCAAGAACAACATCAATATGCATTTTTTTATTCCTCTCCTTAGTAAAACGCGCATTGAATATTACTGTAGTTTTTGAAGCATTGTTGAATTCAAAATCAACTGCTGCACAGTGGAGCTCAGTAGACTTGAGAACTACTCAGCATGTGTGAGGATTAGATACATAGAAAGCAACCTCCCTTTTCAAATTATGAGGATGTTGTGCTTTGTTTTGGAAGACATTGGAGTCTGAATATTTAAGGAAGCTCTGTCTCCCTTTGTGTTTCCTTCTTACTGTAGTCAAAGTTCTGGTTTTGTCTTACCGAGTTTTGCTCCTGTACTGGCACTAAGTGGTTATAAGGGGTTTCAGGGGGAGGGTGGGGATGCCCGTGTACTTAAATAGGTTTCGTTTGGGTGTTCTTAAATGCCTCTTTTGCTGCATCATATAACTGATTGCTTCCATTGTTAATGAATGAACAGGAGGATAAGCAAGGTACTGTAGAGATTGTTTGGCTTTAGGCTTATTTGAAGATTATTATTTAACTCAAAAAGCAATAAGAACTTGCAGTGGTCTTTTAATACTTGGTCATGGCTTTTTTATGTACCAGTTTGGAAATCTGAGATTATATTTGATATCATGTGGCTATTCCATTATGGAATATTGCAGGTGTAAACTCTTGCATTTCAGCATTCCTGGCAGATATGCAACTTGACAAAGACCTCTGGTTGTTTAGTTTAATCAGACTTTTTTTAGATCCCACCTTCACTGTTCAAAGCACCAGTTATCAATGTGTTTTCTAGTGTTGTCACTTCTTTATAAATAAAGACAAAAGAGGTATGCATCTCTACTGGTATTGTCCATTTCATTTAAATGTGGATATCTACCAGAACTTACACATGAAAACATAGAAAGCTGGAGTCTGTGGGATATCTTTACTAATGTTACTAAATTCTTATCCAGATATATAAGATAGTTCTAACCATTTTGGATTGAAATGCTTTGTATAAATGGTGGTACAATAAATTCTTATACATGTGTTGGAATTGCATTTCCTACAGATATGTGTTAGTTTTGTGATAACCACAGTAACAATGTATCTGCAAAGAGTGCAGTATGTTGAATTGCCATGAGTCTAGTTTATTGTCGCAGTATGTAAAACTAACTTGTGCAGATGAAAGGATGTGCATTACCAGCTGAAATGAACTTGTGATTTGTAGAGTTGACTTTGCTAGCATTACATGAGTTGGCCTGTCATCTGTAAGACTTGGAAAAAAAAATGGAACACTAAGGAAATGGCATTTCTGTGTCCATTTTGGTATTTTTAGGCATTTGGTGCCAACACTTAAAAGTATTATTCAGTAATGAGTTGAAATACAGCTCCGGGACATTTATCTGAAAAGTGAAAGTCCAGGCATATGTGAGGATGTTTCTAACTTGTTTCTGAAGAAGGTGAATTGAAGTTTATAATAAATGTTCAATCCTTGCTGAGTTAGATGGTACTGCTTAAGAAGATGTCATAAATGGAAGTAGTCAGTATTTTATATGCACTCAAATACATTTAGGGTTACAAGCATGGGTTCTGATACCCTAATAAATTCATGACTTGAAGGATATTTTAAAGAATTTTTCCTCAGTCTTTGTAACAAATGCCATTCCATGAAGGTGAGCAATGTAAGGAGCTCCACGTACAAATGTGGCTGAAGTGATATGTACGTTTGGTGTCCTACAGCTTTATCGAGTTTCAGTGCAAATGAGTGACATGGGGGAATGCCACAGTGGAATTGGTGAAGAGTAGAGGGTCTGAATGCACCAGTTGGCAAGAATGGTGCCACTGGACCCAGCTGCCTTCTCAGAGGAGAGCTGCCTTGCAGCCCTGATGCTCCACAGCTTTAGATAGGTAGAGCCTGGGAGTGGCCAGATTAGTTGTCATCTGTGTAGCTGTGGCGTGAGATCTCTGTCAACGGGCACACCTATCTGTGCAAGCTCTTTGGGTCCATGCAAGCAGATTTTTGTTAGCACATTGCACGTGTGTCCATGCGGGTGTCTGTGCAAACATGCATTTTCTCTCATCCACACATGTATGTGCCCTGTTTGTTCCCAGGGTTTTAAGACATGAGGAGTAACTGTGGCTTGTTGCTTGTTTTAGCAATTAATAGGCATACCTGATCCTCAGTGGTGGGCCCAGATCGCCCTAACGAGGCCAGTGATAACAGATCCATGTGTGAATGGGAACAAGCTGCAGAATTGAGAGCTTCATCCCATCCTGGGGCCAGTTAAGAGCTGTGAGATTGACAGGATGCAAAGGTGCTCAGTGCCACTGTCAATATTTAAGGCTGTGGCTCCTGCAGAGCTCCTTGGTGCTCAGCTGGACATGCTCCAAGTGTCCATCCTGGGCTCCTGTGTTGGGGGCGAAAAGGAAAGCATATTTTTCCACATTACAATTCTGACCTCTGCTACTGTGTGTGCAGTAGCGTTTTGTTCTGTGTGCAGCGGAGGATTCCACCCGTGCACACGGAACTCTGCAATGTCGCGCATGCGTAATTAAAAGGCAGTAATAAAACTACTCAAACATAAAAACACCCAGCAACACTGCGTGCGCATGAGCGGCACAACTCCAACAAGCAAAGAGACGAGCGACGGCTCGCGGAGCGGCGCACGCGCGGCCAAGGGGGAGCGCCGCGCGTGGGGCTGCTCGCTGCCGCCACCTGCTGGCGGACAGGAGGGGTTGCAGCCCCCGGGAAAGGGGGGCACGCGCCAGTGCCCCGGGACTGAAATGGAATGATGATGGGGATGTTGCATCCATCCTTGCTGCATGGAGAAGGTAGTCTGGGTTTTTTATTTTTACTAGAACTGCATGAATGACTAGTGAGGGGGGCGTTTTTCCTCCCAACACAGTTGCTGTTACCCTTTTTTAAGTAGGAATCCTATTAACAGGAGACCTAATGACAGTGATGTTGCTAGTGTAACAAGAGAATGTTATCATTGCCGCTGCTGTGGAGCTTGCGGAGCACAAGCCCCAGTGCCCTGAAAATCTGCTGTTGTGTATTGCTTTATGAGCAAATATGTTGTTTCCAACCCATTTTGACTCAGCAGGTAAACACATGCACTGCGCAGGTGCCAAATGGTGTTAGCCTTTTGTGCCTGAAAATTTCCTGGAAGGATTTATGGGGCAGCAGCACTGAGCTAATTGTGAGGCACATCATGAGACTTGGGTTAGGTGCTTTGTGAAAACTTCTGGGGTACTTCTTTGCAATTTTGTGGAATTGCTTTTAAAAATAGTGCTCCTTTTAAATGATCTTTTCTTCTTCCCAATATTTACTTCTCACAAAGTATTTTTATGAGCCCTAGGAATATGTTTCCTGAGCCTCATTTCTTGAATGAGGGCTAAAGTCTGCTAGAGGCAAGGAAATCTACCTCTTTGCTGTTTCCGTGGTAGCATTTTTAACGAAGAAGTTTTCTGCAAGGCGCTGGTAGGTCCCAGATATATGAGGAAGTTTAAAGGTTCTTGCAGCCAATCTTAGCTGCATGTTTAGGTGTATGTATGTGTTTCCTGTTCCTGCTATATCTTGGCTTTCTGAAATTGCTATATCCTCTTGCATGCCAGTATGCCTGAGAGAATTCATGCCATGATTCCTCCAATTTGGCACTAGTCTGTTCCTTGCTTGGGGTACAGAGCATCCTTGAGTGCATTGTTAGGAATCTTAGCACGGAAGATACTTGAGATGTGAAGCTGGACATCATTAACATGTTTGAAAAGCAAAAAGGTTTACTGGACTATTAAGTCATATTGTTTTGAATGCAGCAAAGGAAGTCTGTCTATTGGCTGGGCCTGTCATTTGCACTAGCTCAGCTCTACTGTGCAAAAAAAAATTGTTTAATGCTTTGGGGTTGTACATTTCAACTGTAATGTATTGCCAAATTTGTCTAACGGGTTTTGCATGCATTTTATGTGTTAATCTTGTTGCAGAGCTAAAAGGCTGAGAGGGGATGCTGTCAGTAATACAGAAGATACTACTGTGGGCATAGAATGCATCTCTGAATGCCTCTGAATAGACTGTGCTGCCTTTTAGCTGGGCACTCCCACCCAAGACAGACAGGTCTTTTGTTTCTCCTGGTTGCTGAGAACTGTTACCTCCCGTTGAGACTCTTGAGACCCTACAGCTTCTTTTGTACATTGGCAACTCTGTTGTGGCTTTAATTTGTTCTCGACTCCTGTAATAAAGATGGAGTATGTAGGGCTGTACTCACCATCTCCTGAACTAGTTGGATGTTATGGGGAATGCTAAGAAGGTGACAGATCAGTTGTTGTTTTAAAAACAAAGGCAATTCTTCGGGATGATTCCAGAGTACAAATCTCACACTCAGTTGTTGCTTTATTGCCACTGAGGGTGGTTGCTTTTAAGTTGATGAACACTGGTAGACTGTCTTTTACTTTGATTGATCAGCCACGTTTATTTCATCCACCTCTGAAGCTTGGGAAGAAACCAAAACAGTGTTTGGAAATTGTTTAGAATAAAGCTGGTGTCCTAAGAGTGGAGGAGTGAACACTCAGGAGTGAAAGAGTGACAGGAGTCATTTAAGGAATCAGCTTTCCTCAACACGAGAGGAGGAACCAGCCATGGGCACCGCTGTGTAAATGCAGCCACTGCACCTCTCTGAGCAGCTGAGAACACACCCCACAGTGTTTTGCAGGCCAGTGAGCCATTTTCCTTTTGTGTGTAAATATTTTGGCAATACAATCTGGGGACTCTCATGTCTATGTGTCTGTCTGGGTGCCTCTCTGTGCATATTTATGTATCTCAAAGAAAACTGCCTGTACTTATGACTGGGATCACTCTGAGAAGTTCTTTTCTTGCTATCCTTCACAGGAGGCAAGTACTTGAGGAGTGCTTATGGAGCACTTTTTGCTCCTCAAGAAATTCCAGGAAGAACAAGCTGCCCAGCTGCTCAGTTCAGAGGCCAGAGATACTCTCTGGCAATGGCACAAGAGGAGGACAACAAACAGGACAATATCTTCAGCTGATGATTTTCACATAGAGCTTAGAGCTGAAATAGAAAATGGAATGATTGTGTTGTTGAAAATTCCCATTTGAGACATATAATTCATAGCAAATTCCCTTGGGGCCACAAGTGCTGAGATTACATCTGGAAAATTAGCCTCTGTTTTGAAGTCTTTGCACTTTTTATCAAATAGTTTCATTATGATGGTCTGAAGAAAACACTATATAATACAGCTTTCTTACCTTCCCTTTTAAGTTCAGTTTGTCCTCACTTCCTAAAGTGAGGACAAACTGAATTTTATCTTCGATCCAGATTTTCTATATGCTTTACTGTTAAAAAGATCAAACCCAGATTTCCAGGAGTATAAATCAGTACAACTCCCCAGCGGCCAGTGGTGACATAAATCAGATAGCAGAGAGGAGAGGTGGGAGAAATGTTCCCCAACAGTTGAGAAGTTTAGGCAGGCAGCACAATTCTCTAATATGGATGTTCTTGTGTTTATGTTTTGGGATTTTTTTTGTCCCCTGTATTTTGTACTGCTCTTCCAGAGTAGGGCAGTACCCTTCAAGGGCAGAATAACAAAACAGTCATTTATTACTTCATCTTCTGAAAGCATGCCTGCATCTCTTTCATATGCTTTGGACTGACTGTTAAGGTAAAGCAGTCTGTGGGCTGAAAGAGGGAGGATGTTGGAATTGGGAAGAGAGGATTTACTCCTTAGTGTTCAGCTGTCTTCAGTGAGGAAGAGAAGTGTTTATGAGCAATTCCAATGCCTGTCCAGTGCTCAAAGCCTGCCCATCTCCCCATGTTATGGCTTGAAAGGCAGGCGTCTGCTAGGGAAGGCAGGAGCCTCCCTTGGAATGGAGAATGTAAACCTCTTCCCTCCAAATTATTATAATTTGGAAATTAAGGGGCTCTCCGGCAAAGATAAGAGCATAGGAGTAACAGTCCTTTACTAGGATGTATAGCAAGGCAAACAAACAACAGCTATGGTGTTAGCAACAAACAGAACCAGGAACCCTGTGATAGCTTTATCAGCTGAGATGGATTAGGATGAAGATTCTCCTCCCCAGAAATCGTGCGGCTGCTGCTGGAGCAGGATCAGGGATGGGATCAGGACCAGGAATGGGATAGGGATTGGGATCAAGATTAGGATCAGGTTTAGAAAGGATCAGGATTAGGATCAATATTTCCCTCCTCAGAGATCCTGCGGCTGCTGCTGGAGCGAGGTCAGGAGTGAGATCAGGAATAGGATCAGGATTAGGATTAGGATCAGAATTAGGATTTTTTTCCCCATCCCAGAGATCGTGTGGCTGCTGCTGGAGCCAGGTCAGGGATGGGATCAGGATCAGGTTTAGGATAAGAATCAGGATTAGGATCAGGATCAGAATTAGGATCAGGTTTAGGATCAGAACTAGGTTTAGGATCAAGATTAAGATTCCCCCTCCCCAGAGATTGTGCGGCTGATGCTGGAGGAGAGCTTTGCT